TAATTGATAAGTAACCACTTGGATAAATTTGTTAATTGTGGATGATAAAATGAATTGATGATTAATAAAAACTAATAAACGAGTATTATATTAAAATAATAATTATCTTGGACTTAGTACCATAATTAGATTAAATAAAGTTGGATAGATATTATTCTCATTAATTATTTAATTAATTGAGTTAACAAAATACCGACTCGGAAATATTAAGTGTTTGCGTAAGCTAATAATAACCGGATAATTTATTCTTTATTAATGGATTATTGATAAGTAAAATCTAATTGGAACTTTTATATGAGTAGATAAAGTCGAACCCTCTATAATAGAGAATCAGTAAAACAAAATAGAAAGTTAGAAGTGGATTGATTAATAAAATAAACTCGTATAATTAATTAATAATATTAGTATATGCGAATAATAAAATAAAAGGGGGAAAATCGGGTAAAATAATTACAAATAGAATAAGTGACTAATTATATCATCTAAATTAAAAAGGTGCTCATTTAGAGACTGGAATTGAAGAAGAGAAGTAGGAGCATTTGGATTTAAGGTAAGTTTCACGTCAACCGAAATTAGTTCTTTTTCTTCGTGATTTCCTTTAATTATTTTTGTGTGCATATTTTAGAATTTAATTTATGTGTACTGAATTTGAGTGAATATTATTATATGAAAGGGTTGTATTTGAGATATTAGTTGACATATTGTTTTGTTGATATGAGTTATTATATACGATTTTGGAAAATTTTGTAATAGTACGTAATTTGTTATCTTTGTGGGAGTTTGATGAAAAGGAAATTTTTGGAGTATAAACCTTGATTGATTTTGAGAAAACAAAGAAAAATAAATATTTTCATAAAGGGTGAGCATCACGGGAGAAATTCGTGGTGTTGGTTTTCCATGTCCCTTAAAATGTGGAGGGTGGTTAGGTCTACTACTACTCAATTTTTGTTGGTGTTGGTTTGAGGTGAATTGACGGTCGGTAGAAAACATCCCGACCTTTGAGTAGTAGTGGTAGTAGTAGCTCCTAATCATTCAGGTTTTGAGGTGGGGTAGTTGGTAGAAAACATCCCGGCTACCCGGATCGACTTACTAACCCGGAGGGCTTGGAATACCTTTAGGGGGTGTGCACACTTAAAGTAGTTGTTTCCGTTTCCAAGGAGCAGTTGTGGTACCGGCGATAGTTCCGGGGTGGCCGTACATAACAACGGACCACCGGGCTCAACCAAAGTGTTGAGCACCGCCCTTCTAAATTACTAGGAAGTTAGATACAAAGTGATTTTGGGAGAAATTCAAAAGAGGAGAATTTTGGTGTTTCATGTATTTTTAAATTATTATGGTTTACGAGTTAATTATGTGATTGGGATTTTATATAGATATCGTTTACTTATGATTTATGGTTTATAAAGTGTTTTGAAAAATATTTTATGAGGTTGTACGAATTTATATATAGTATTTATTATTATTTTAAAAGGTTAGGTGGAACTTACTTAGCATTATTGCTAATGTTTGTTTTCTTTTATTTTTCTTGTGCTCGTATTTAACAGGAGGTGATCATGATGATTTTGATGTTGCAATGTTTGAGAGCGCGAATTAGAAGACAATTATGTAGTTCACTAGAAATAAACTTTAATATTTTCTTATGATTCGAACATCTTGATTTTGTTAAACTCGTGTTTTGGTAGATAGCCTTAGCATCCAATCATTCACGGATTGGATGTGGCGGTGACATGCCCCTTTTACTTAGTTTTATTAATTTCCGCTGCAACTTGTGAAGTTTTAATCATTAAATAAAAGTCATCTCTATTTCAAAGTATTATTTTGGGTGGAAAATTTGGGGGTGTCACAAGTTGGTATCAGAGCCTTCAGGTTTTCTGAAGAGACTAGATCACGAAGTAATAGGTCGTAGGGAGAAATTCTGTCACAAAGACGATAACAGTCTAAGCTGGTTGGTGCCTAATTGAGCCTTTGCGCTCGTCCAACTAACTGGGAATTTCTCCTTGTGCTGAAACTTCGTTGTTCGAAATCTTTGACGAAAACCGTGGGAATCATACCTTCAAGTGAAGACCTTGCAAAACATTTTTATCAAATTTAGGAAATGAAAAGGATTAAGGAAAAGACCTTTCTAGGGCCGCGGTGAGGATGATTTTGTATTGCTTCTATAGGTTGAACAAATTCCCCAATACTTATGTGATCATTTGTATGTCGGATTACGTTATGATTTAATGTGCACAGCAGCTTGATTACTAGACAATACTGTGAGGGCCGAGTAGCCCCCGGGTAGTATGTCTCATTGACGGATAGCCTACGGCACACGGGTAAAGAGAGCCCTCGGATATCCTCATCACCAACTAATCAACAAGCAAGGGACCCCCCGGTGACAATGCAACTACTGCCCTCATCCATCGCGCCCTCGATCCCCAGATTGAGGTGCTCCCCTTCGGCACCCCCATGACATCAGCAGCAAGCCTTCGGCTAATCAACAATGAGCCCTCAGAAAAAGAAGAGCCTTCGGCATTACCGTTATTCTCCATTTTGACCAAGGTTTCACATTTTCGATTCATCGTTGGGGGAATTCGGTGCACTCTTTTTCCCTCATTAGGATTTTTTCCCACAGGGTTTTTCCTAATGAGGTTTTTAACGAGGCACCCCCCCAAAATGAAACGAAAAGCGTCAGCCTTCGGCCCACAACAGCAACACAACTACTCTACTCCTTTTCACCACTTTACAAGTGCCTCAAGGAGTGGAGGACTGGAGGACCCCCTCGGGAAAATCATTAAATTACAAAATTGGTGAAAAATTCCAACAAACGGCAAAGCAAGCCCTCAAGTCCCGACATGTGGGTAACTGAGGGGCTGCCTTCGGCAGGGACATAAAAGCAACAACTCCTCACCAACTTCAGAGATTACGACAGGACAACATCGAAGGGCAAGCACAAATTACTCCTTTTCCCTCAAATACCTTTCGGCAAAAGGAGTGAGGGACTCCTGATGGAGTATATGGCCCGAGAACCCCCGGCCCACAGACTCCTACTACTCCAGTAAAGGCCCAACAGGCCCAGAAAGCTCAAGCAGGCCCAAATCACAGCGCCCAGAGTACCAAGCAGCACGCAATACGCACCAGGGGTGCCTTCGGCCCCCTGGCCGAAGGCTCCAAACTATCACAGCGTGGATATTTCGAACAAACAGAGGAACTGGGAGAAAACGACGAAAACAGTAGCCCTCGGCACCTGGAGCCCTTGGCGCTCAGGGGTCCTCGGCACTAAGAGCCCTCGGCTAGTCCTCTGTGACCGGGGGCACCTCTCCCGACATGATCTCCGCATCACATGCGTACAGATCACCGTACCCTGTACAGACATCCCATCCAACAGCCGCATTAAATGCGGCCACATGCGGCTGCCAGCGCCAACCAGTTGAGGTGACCTCTCGGCCAATGGGCGCTTGACACGTGCCCCTGTCCGACATTTATTGCTACTATAAATAGCACCCCATTTCCCCATTTGTAACCACGACATTCAGACTGAATACACTCTCTCTCTTACTTACTTGTGCTCTGACTTCTCTCTAAGTTATTCTCTGCAATAACCCCTCGGATATATACCCCCCGGGTACACTATCCATCAATTATATTGTAGTAACTAATAATCATATTTATGTAAATAAATTTTATTAGTAATATTTTTTGTAAAAAACCCAATTTATAAATAGCTTTAACTCATTCCTAATAAACATTCATTTTACTCAAACTTTTGATCCTAATATTACAGCTAGTATTTCTCATCTTAGTAATCCATATAAAAGTAACACTACCAGAACATACCTCATTTTTAACACTAGCTGGACAAAAGAACACCTCATTTTTAACACTAGCTGGATAAAAGAACTTTGTTATATCTAGTTTTTCCCTACAATCGAAAAACTGTTAGTATATTCAACCTACATAGTTTTTTAAACACAGTAAATAAATCCTTACATTTAATATTATTAAAAATTATTTTTTTTTTGACAATTTCTTACGTATGATTGTAATTTAAAAAGTCATCATTTCGACGCAAAAAGAAACGGACTCAGAATTTACTTTTTTCGTGATTGTTTCGAGTCTATTTGTTAAAAAATAAACTGAAAATGTAAAAAAATATTATAAGCACTGGACCTTATCTATAAGTCTATAACACTTGAATCTGGTCAAGAAAGATTTTGGGGTCTAAATAATCCCTAGTGCTGAGATTTTAATTTCTTATACACCGTATTAAACAATTGGTGTCATATGAAAGATTACGAAATGCTATTAATTTTGATATGTTTTTTGTAAACATAAAAAAATTATACCAATTTGTAAACAAAAAATTACATGCTAATATAGGGCCTGCAGACGGTTGCAAACCAGCTTCTCTTCACCATTTAGTTAAGTCCTTTTAAAAAAAGACACCCCATTATTCCATCCCTGAGGGTCTTAAGCACCGGCTGAACGGTTAACTGAGACAATCCAAATTAGACTTTAATCACAAGCTGATAGATATTAAACCCGACTCTGCACTACGTACTTACAGAGACCATATGCATTTTTGCATAGCAATTTTTATCACAATTATTATGATTCGAATCCAAGACTTATTTCTCATGACATTCTCTGTGTATTAGTTGAGCTAAGCCCACCGACAGTCTAAGTCCTTTTAAATTTGGCATAGGGTGTTACTAAATTTTATTGTATTCTTCAACTCTTTGAGTACCATTTTCTTGCATGGTTGCATAAATTTAACCTTATCACCACCCATACAATGCAATTATGCAAATGGTCCTACCGTCCTATGGTAAAAAACTTCCCCATGTTTAAGTATACATTGACCTGTACACATTTAATTAAAAATCATTAAGAATGTTTTTCTTGACTCACAGGGACATTGTCCAATAACAGCTTACATCTTTGCAGTGACCTAGGTGCACTATTTTCAATTTTAACTTCAAATTCTTCCAGTGAGTTAAAGTGACATAAACTTACAGTACTGTATCCTTGATACAGCAAATTAGCAAGTTATCACTTTTGAGGCCATTCATAACTTACTATGACATCCGCGCCTTACTCTGCCATCGCCGCTCACGCCGGCGCCGACTTCACCCGCGTCCGTCTCCGAACTGGGTTTCCAAAGAAGCACCTTAATTTTCCCACTTCGGCGCGATTCTTTGTCAACTCAACTCTCAAACTGAGGACGCCCCGTAGACTGTTTCCTGTGCGTTGCTCAATCATGCCTCTAGAAGGCGTCAGCACCACTCCCTTGATCTCTGAGGTAGGAAAAACATGCTGAATTCGCATAAAATTATGTTCTTTATTTGTATTTATTCATTTGAACATTGCATTTAACAACGATGTGATCTAATAGCTTTGTTCTAAGTTAATAAGGTCATTCTTGAAGCTTGCTGCTTCAAGTTTTCAACTTTCTCCCTTATAGAATCCTTTTCAGCGAAAAATTGAGTTAACAACGATGCGTTTAAGTTAATAAGTTCATTCATGAAGCTTGCTGATTCAAGATTTCAACTTTCTCCCTTATAGAATCCTTTTTAGCTAAAATTTTAGTTAACAACGATGCATTTAAGATAATAAGGTCATTATTGAAGCTTGCTGATTCAAGATTTCAACTTTTTCCGTTAGAGAATCTTTTTTAGCAAAAAATTGAGTTGGGCAAAAGATTATTAAAGTTGAAAATTCGATGTGCATTGGCCTTTCGTTTTGGTACGATCTTGGCATGTGCTTTTGTACCCCTATAGTGGCTGGCTTAAAGGTTATTGTATCTTTTGAGCTCAATCTGCACAAGCACGCTCAAATTTAATGAAGTTTGACTGTTGCAGAGTATCTTTTCGCACTGTGGAGCATTCTGGGTAAACAGATCAATAATTGCTTGGAATGTGGACATTGAGGATGATGGATGTTACTTGTATGCTAGCAGAAATGCTGAATTAGCAGTTACTGATGGTGAAATCCAAGGTGTGCAGTCCTTTATACTGCCTCTATCTTATGAAGCTGTTTGTGAGCAAGGTTTGATATGTTTTTACATCACAGGGTATGATCTTAAAATGAAGCTTGAAGGAGGAGATGACAGGCTTCCAGAATATGTGAGATGTCAATCCATTCTTGATTCTTATGGTGGAAGCTTTTCTTCATTAGTTATTATGGATGAATTTTATAATTTATCATTACCGCCTGATTATCTTAACTTTTAGATTTCGCGCATGCCATTGATTCATGTCTTATCCTGACTCCAGTTAGCTAAAAGATTTCCTCATATTCGAGACTATAAGACATTCAAAGTTCCTCAACCTTTGGATTGTGAAAATATACTCAAGTGCCAATTGGCTGTTGCTATCCTCACCTGTAAGGAGCAAAGTCTTATCTCCACTTATTCTATATCTTTATCTACTACACTGACATGGGGCAGATTGTACCGATGTAGCTGATGGAAAATGCAAGTGTGCTACTGGGTTGCAGCTACCTGGTATCATAGATGAATTATTCTCCTACACTGGTCCACTTGGTGCTGTTTTTTCACGTCAAGCAATTTCTCTTTACCTCTGGGCACCAACTGCAACAGTACAGACTATTCATTTTCGGTCTTTCCCCATGTTTTTTACATTGCTTTTGTCAGTGTTTATTATGGAGTACTTTTCAGCGCTGCTTTACCCCTAGTAGGGTTGTGCGAATGCAGGTTGTGCGCGCTTTCATTTATAGGAACCTGTCAGATGTCGTTCCTTTTGATATAATTGAGCTCAAGGAGACGCATGGTGTATGGGTTGCTACACTCCCAAGGGATAGGGAGGGGTATTACTATGCATACGAAGTCTCTGTCTATCATCACACTACCTTGCGGATTGAGAAATCACTAACTTGCGATCCGTACTCAAGAGGGTATACTGGTGTCTTTGTTTAATGAGTGTGTTGATATATACGTTAAAAGTTAAAACTGTTATCAATTTTCTTATACTGTCTTGTTCTATGAAGTCTTTCTGCTGATGGCAAGCGGACATTGTTAGTTGATCTTGAGTGTGATTATTTAAAGCCTGAGGGATGGGATAATCTGGGGAATGAGAAACCAGATGTACTTTCCACATCTGACATCAGTATTTACGAATTGCACATACGGGATTTTAGGTGAGTACAAGGATCATGGAATTATGGAACTCATTTTTGGATGCCTTTTAAGAAGTATGAGGACAGCCTGACCCTTTTCAATATGAAATCTATAATCTATAATTGATTCAGACTAGTTGATTATAATGTGGCTTGAGACTAAATATAGGCTTGGCGTATCCTGCAGTAGCATTTTTGTTTTTGTTTTTCTCCTACAAGATCTTGTACACATATGAGCCCTTTCCGAAACAGAATTTATGTAGCCTATCTTCCTAAGCCACACAATTTTATCTCAAACGATAGTATGACAGATAGTAGCACAGGGTAATTCATTTCCTCTGCTTTTATATCTAGTGCCAATGACCATACCGTGCATCCTGATTTCCGAGGCGGTTATCTTGCCTTCACTTTGCAGGTATATTATCTCTTTTGTGGTTAGTTGATAGTAGTCTAAAGACCTACTAGTTTTTTTGTTTATGGGATAAACTTGTGGGGTCACTTGTCCATCTTTTGGTCAGCTAATCTCTAGATCATCCATGCATCTGATGATCAATTGTTAATAATTTGCAACTATATTAAAGGACTCAGCTGGTGTCCTTCATCTTAAGAGATTGTCCGCTGCTGGTATCACTCATATCCATCTGCTTCCAACCTTTCATTTTGCTGGTGTTGATGATGAAAAACATAAGTGGAAGCATGCAGGTGAAAATATATCTCTATTCTGTTTTGACTTGAATGAAGGTCTCTTTCAAGTAAAGTATTTTATATGCATGCCTACATGTAAATTTTTTAAACGTAGAAATAAAACAATCTCAGATGACCACTGTAATGGACTTGCTAGTTTCTGTCTAGCTGCTATAGTGATTCACACGCATTTTAATATATGACCTATCTTTTGGTAGGTCTAAATTTTCCAATTTTCCAGGATTTCAATATGTATTACTCCCTCCGTCCCCCTAATATTGGTACGGAAGGGTGTGGTGTGGTTTTTAAGAAAAGTAGAATTATGTGGTTGGTAATGAGTTGATAAAGTGGAAATAAAGTAAGAATGAATTAGAGCCACACAAATGTTACCAAATATGGTATGAGACAATAATAAAGGGACATCCAAAAATGAAAAAATGGGACAATTATAGGGGGACGGAGGGAGTACATGGTTAGCGAATTCCAATGTTCATCAGTGTAACTGTACATTGCTTTAGTTTTTTAATAATTTTTTTTTTGTGTCTTGATATCATTGGGTGTGAAACCCTTTATCAGATATTGAGAAGCTGAAATCTTTTCCACCGGATTCATATGAACAACAAGCTATTATCACAGCCATCCAAAATGAAGATGGATATAATTGGGGGTAAGTCAAATTGCCAATGATCTGCAATCTTGCTTATGCTATATAGTTTGTTTATCATTGACTATGACTTAAATTGTGATTTTTGCCTCTGCTTAAGGAAGATATAACCCTGTTCTCTGGGGAATCCCTAAGGGAAGCTATGCTAGTAACCCAAATGGTTCATGTCGCGTCATGGAGTTTCGTAAGATGGTACAGGTAAATCTTGTTCTTCTAATTCTTTAGGCCCTGAAATTGCATGCCCAATGTATTCGGAGTAAGATAAACAAGACCATCATCACCACCACCTTAGTCTTAACTAGTTGGTATTGATAGGCTGGTAGCTTCAAACATGTATCGACAATTAATGGCCTGACATTAGTCAACATTATAAATTCATTGAAAAACAGATATTTACAAGTTTTATGAAGAAATCATTATGACTTGAATTCCATCCTAAAAGGTAATATGAGATGTAATCAAGAATCTTATATAATCATTTCTCTTTATTCAATGTGGGACTTACACTTCAATACGCCTTCATCCCAAACCGGGTTGAATAACTTGAGGGGCATTAAATGGGTCAAACTGACCCCAAAAAGGCTCCCCACATCATGGGAGCCAAACAAACAGACCACAATTAGATGAGATTCTGATACGAGATTAAAAGGCTGAAAGACTTGGGGTTAATCCATGAAAAGATAACTTGATGTGTATAGAAGAGTAGCATATGATCTTATATTATGGTTTATTATTTTATATTTAACCGAGGTGAGACAAACACTTCAACAGGGATAATGAGACAAAATTCCAATGACTGCATCATTCATATGTTATATTTTCTAGCATTGGCAGTATCATGAGACTGCGATGAGTTGAGATAGATGTTGTAATCATATATGATTGTAAAACCAACATGGAAATCATGGAATACGATCTGCTAGATAAACAAGATATGCAATGAGATAGTTTTTTAATGAATCTTCTTACTAATTTACACACATATTTATTTTCAGGCACTTAACCACATTGGCTTTCGTGTTGTACTTGATGTTGTTTACAATCATTTGCATGCAAGTGGCCATAATGATGAGAACTCTGTTCTTGACAAGGTACTGTGTTTAATGTGTAAGTTCTGCCTTTACATCCATTATCTTCTTTGGAGTTTAGATTATGCTTTAGTAAATCATAGAGTTTCAACATGTTTAGAAAATTGATGAGCTTGTAGTTTTTTTCTCAAGACGCTCAATGACCCTTGCAGATTGTTCCTGGCTACTATCTTAGAAGGAACAATGATGGCTGTATTGAGAATAGCACCTGCATAAACAATACAGCCAGTGAACATTTCATGGTTGAGCGCTTGATTCTTGATGATCTTATGTGTTGGGCTGTTCATTATAAGGTGATACTCAATATCTGATTGACTTCAGAGCGTTATACATGATGCTTAATAGATTATCAAAGAGTATGAAATTGACTAGTTCACTTTAGTTAACAGTTAGACAGAAGTTTTTATATTAATATTTATTAATTAATTTATGGATGAACTTTTGATAAAATTATATGTACGCTACTGAAGTTTTGTACATATATTTAATGATCTAAAAAGGGTAGGCAGCCTTTAGGAGGTACCACTGTAGATTAAGGCCTAACACCTAGGCGGGTTAGGCAGTGCCAAAATAAGGAAAAATGTAGTGGTCAAGGGACATTTGAAGGTCCTAGGTGCAGATAGAAAAGGTTTTTTTTTTGAAGAATGCATATCTTGGAAGGATTTGAGCACCCCTCCCCCCTCCAAAGAAAAAAATACAAAGTACAACTTAACATTTTGACCTCTAGTTATCCCTCCCCAACCCTGTTGTGGCATAATCCTTTCTTATCTTATTGGGTGTTATTATGGAGTATGTTATGGTATTAGACATGACTAAACACTAAATAAATGCATGTGCTTGTAACTGATGCAACTACAGAACAAAAATGAGACTTCCTTTCAATAACTTCAGTAACAAGAAATGAAACTTGGAAATTTATTTTGGATTTCTATGTTCCACAGTGCTTCAATCCTATTTTTTGGATGAAGGGAGATTAGAATTGATAGCCTCTGCTTAGTACTACATTGATCTAAATCTGGGAGGTTGTAAGTTGTAGAGAACAGCACGTGACATGTCATTGCTTAGGGATATATATGACTCCATGAAGTATAGTCATATAGATACATTCATGAAGAACTGAAGGACTAGTATGGAAATTTCTGAACATTTAGCATTAATATTAATTGGTACATTAGTACCAATCAATATTAAATGAAAATGAAATGAAATTATTGATTGGTACATTAGTGTAGCATTTCATATCAGTGTCTCTCAAACCAGTTTGTATGTCTCATGGCATGTTTTCACTCGATATGGGACCAAAGTTTTCTCAGAAACTATTGTAAGAGTTCTCTGTCATGAAATGTCATTGCAGTATTCTGCGGACTTCAAATACTAGCTCTTTACTAACCATGTTTTTTGGCAGGTTGATGGATTTCGGTTTGACCTTATGGGCCATATAATGAAAAAAACCATGGTATGGTGCAACGGATTTATACCATATTCAATTTTCACATGATCAATAATTACTTATTTTTGTTTATAATCTTCATTTACAAATTAAAGTACATGAATGTTTTGAGTTGAAAGCACAACATTTGCTACACTACTGTTGTGGAAAATGAAAATTTAACATACAGAAGACCTCCTAGGCTCCTAGAAAAGAAATAAAAATAACACACAGAAGCCCTTAATGGTCAGGTATCAGAACAAAAATCAGTTTGTGCATTGGACATTAAACTATCATAATAGACATGGATCATCAAGGCTTTGAGAAAATAACCATTGAGGTCATCTAATTTGCCTGGGAGTAGGTGTATAAGGAGAAATTTTGGCATGAAGTGATAATATTTTAGAACTATCCTCACCTTTTTTTAAACTTGTGAAGCCTCAAGGAAGTAATGTATAACTAAATGATTGTTTCACCTTGAAATATTTTAATAATAAATACTGTAATACTTATACCTTTAACTAAACCTTGAAAGTCAGCCTGATAAATTGAAACCAATTTACTTCATGTGGTTGCAGGTGAAGGCAAAGTCACTGCTCCAGAGCTTATCCATGGAGAAGAGTGGAGTAGATGGACCAAAAATTTTCTTGTAAAGATAATTGCGTTCAACAGTGCCTTCTTTTTCGATAACATTCATCTTTAGTCTTTACCTTTGAAATCTATGATGATATAAAATAATATTTATGACTTGTGAGAATGGTATATTGGTATCTTATTTAACATACAGTTTTGTTTTCCTTGTTTTGGTCTTGCTTTTTTATCTTGCTTTCAGATATGGTGAAGGGTGGGACTTTGGTGAAGTGGCGAATAATGGCCGCGGGGTGAATGCATCACAGTTTAACCTTTATGGAACTGGAATTGGAAGGTCATAGATTGCATTTATTAGTCCTATGTTGCAAATATGAGTTCTGTTTCTCTGTTATGTTTCTTCGCAAAAAAAGCATGTTGTACTTCCTAAAGTGCACTTGCCGTTTGTTATAAGAAGCGCATGATATTCCTTGCATAAAATCGTGCTCCACAATTACCTCCGTTTTAACCAGAAAACGCAACTGGTTCAGGAGCATTCATTCACCTACCAAACATTACATGTTCTGTTCACTTTTAGGCCTGCATATTTTGACAAAATACATCTGTTTGACTCTATGATTCTGACTCTTATTAAATGCCAACAGCTTCAACGATAGAATTCGGGATGCATTACTTGGTGGATCCCCATTTGGTCACCCTCTGCAACAAGGTTTTGCCACTGGCCTGTTTGTAGAGGTAATAGATTTTGAAAATCCTCCATAGAAATATTTGCAAAAACTTCTGCACTTAAATCATCTCACATGCAATCACTTCCAGCCGAATGGACATGATCATGGTGGTAGTGCTGCTGCTCTGCATACCCTTGCTGTACTCAAGGATCACATTGAGGTGTCTAATCTTAATATCATTCCAAATACTACCAATATGTTTATATGAAGTTGATCCTTTATCCATTCTTGATGTATTTTATTCATGGATGGCAAAGTTCAAATCTCTGAATTGGTGAGTTCTAATGATCTGTTCCTTCATACTTCTCATCTGTAATAACTAGTTTTCCAGGTTGGAATGGCTGGGAACTTGAAGGATTTTGTGCTAATTAACCATGATGGAGAAGAGGTATTTATTCATGGAGTGCTCAAATTTGTCAATACTTTTCACTCGTTTTTATAGAAATCCTTGATGCGTGGTACACAAGTATTTATCTTTGAAGTTTGAATCCCTCTACAAAAAGATAATCTTTCTTGACATTGTTAGGTAATATATCATTTCAATAGAGTAAAAAGCCTTCAATTGGTTTTCAAGAAAAAGTTCATTTCAATGGGGATCAGCTATCCAAAAGTTATCTCTTTTTTAGTTCAAATATCAATGCTTCATTACTTCACCCATTCCTTATTCTCTTCAACCTAAATGCTGGCTGGTTATGCTTTCTCCATTTTGTGCAGGCTAAAGGATCTGAAATCTTAAGCCATGATGGAACGCCTGTCGGTTATACTTCTTCCCCAATTGAAACTGTAAGGAATTTTGATACTATATATGCATGTCATTGTGTGTTGTTTAGAAGAGTATAGATCTCTTTTCTCTCAACTCTACCTTCTTACAGAAGATGATGAATTTTCCTATTGACTTATGTTATATCTTTAGAGTCCTTATCCGGGCTCTATAATGTAATTCTTCAATTACTATCCATCATGAGAAACCTTTGTTCTCTGCAGATTAATTATGTTTCTGCCCATGACAATGAGACTCTATTTGACATTCTGAGTTTGAAGGTATTGAACAAAGACAATCAAGGGCTATCTTAAGTAATTTTTTACAGTTAGTTTATTGCCATTTCTTGTGTAGACTTCAATGTATATCTCTATAGAAGAGAGATGCAGGATGAACCATTTGGCAACCAGTATGATAGCCCTTTCCCAGGTCAGGTTTCCTGGTGATCTCATTTCTGCATTCTTTGCTTGCTGTTTTTGTTGTTGAATGGTTCCAGTCACCCCTCCCCCATTTTAGATTAGACCATTAGGCTATGTTTGTAGCCTGGTAAAGCTAGGGGAAACAAAGAAAGTGCTAAAGAAAGTAATGTTTTTATGTCTATTTTTTACCTTGGTAAATTCAAAGGAAAATGTAATATGATTTCATTTTCATTTACCCCAGTGCCGCAAAGGCTCCCACCTACGGTGGGGTAAGGGGGCGTCGGATGTACGCAGTCTTACCCCTGTACTCAAGCACAGAGAGACTGTTTCCGGATGACCCATAGTGAAAATCGCGTCCAAAATTGCATGGACTGATTGCTGCTCCATAACAAAGAAGCAGACAGTTTAGTGAGTCATTTTGCTTTATTCCATCATAATCTCAAGCCAAAAAATAATGAATCTTTGGCTCCATTGCAAATGATGGAAACGAAAATGTAATATGATTAATGTTTCTATTTCTTTACATATGTTTAGATTTCTCACTATTTATACAATAGCATAAATTTTTAAAACATTAATTTTAACAAGTAAATTTATTGAATTTGATCCAATATATTGTTTTCTACAACATTTTTCTTTCCTTCAAAATTTCTTTAACATTTTCTTCCCTATTTTCTTTCCCTAGCATTTTCGGAGTTCCAAACGGGCCCTTAGAGGTCGGGAAAAGCTGTAGAGGGAAAAACAGTTGATAGAATTCTATCCTTCTATTCTAAATTTTTTGAACTGTATTACTCAAGTACATGTACACATATTTCTTTCACAGGGCATACCTTTTTTCCACTCTGGCGATGAGATTCTTCGCTCAAAATCACTTGACCGTGATTCGTACAACTCTGGTGATTGGTTCAACAGGTCATGACCAATTTTCTTCATCAAGCATTTCTAGTTGCGGCATTTAGGATGTTTTTTAATTACTCTGCTATACAGAATTGTTATATACAGCTATCTTTTTCTTAATTCTTGAAAAATGCTCTTTGCCACATTTCAGGCTGGACTTCAGCTACAATTCTAACAACTGGGGTGTTGGTTTACCTCCCAAAGAGAAGAATGAGCAGAACTGGCCACTGTTAGTTAGTTTTGTAAAAGCTCTGATGCAAAAGTGGTGTTTTAAATGCTTTCTTTCTTGAAACCTTATTTGTGTATACTCCTATGTTTTGAGACATGTTTCATCTACTTCAAATTCAGAATAAAACCTAGATTGGCTGATCCATCTTTTAAGCCTCAGAAGTGTCACATCATTGCTGCCTTGGAAAACTTTTGTGATCTCTTACAGATTAGGTACTCCTCGCCGCTTTTTCGTCTGAGGACTGCAAATGCTATTCAGGTGAGAAGAAGCGGGGATGTAACTCTTATATTGTACACTTTTATGTTTGTAAAGTCATCACACTCAGCTAAATATAACATGCAAACTCACATGTAATTTGAGCTATTCCTCCAATCATGATTTTGGGTTCATATCCAAAATCTTAACCTAGGCGATCCTCGTAACTCTTATGACAGAATGAGTACATCAAAGGTTTGACCATCTTGCAAGACATTTACAGTTAGGATGTTTTTACTTGGACTGTAATTTGCTGGTCTGGTCTGAACTGGTTTCTTTGTATTTTTATAACTATCCAAGTCTAGTCTGGTCTGAACTGGTCTGGTCTGGTCTGAGAGGAATTACAGTCCAAGTAAAAACATCCTTAGTCCACAAAGCAAATATAAAAAGACAAACCCATATACAAGACTGGACTCAGATGATATTGAAATTTTCCAGATATAATGTTTTAAGTTTTATTATTTCAATAAGCAAGTAGCATTGACTCACAAATTAACGACTGGTTCTCAGGAAAGAGTGCGGTTTCACAATGTTGGTCCATCATGGGTTCCAGGTGTCATAGTAATGAGCCTTCAGGATGGTTTTGAGGGATTTCCAGGTCTTACTCAACTAGATCCAAAGTATGTAAAACTTCTTCTATTTCTTCCTTCTACCTTGCTGGTTTATTGCCAGTTATTAATTTATTACTACATACTATTCAGAGTATTGTTATGAATGTTTGCAACAGATACTCATATATAGTCACCATCATCAATGCATGCCCAGTGGAAGTCTCGTTTACTACACCTGTATTATGCTCGAAATCTCTTGAGCTGCATCCTGTACAGGTATGCTGAATTATTGCTCTACTAAGGGGTGTTTGAGTAAGCCATTTAAAAGCATGTTATGTGGTTTGAGCATGTATTCTAAAAAAGTTTTTTGCTGTTATGAAAAATATGTTTTTAATAGAGTATTTGGACATATCTTTAATAAAACATTATTTTTATGTGTTTTAAAAACCCATAGTTTTTAAAATACTCCTTTTCTCAAAATGATTGAAAAAATAGCGCCTTAGATGGTTTTTGGGTTAGAAAACAACAAAATATTAACTAGATCTCTTCTCGCCAAATATAATGATGATTTAAACATTTAACTCATATATATGGCTTTGGACTATCCCTCCATCGACTTCTAAGATAGAAGCTCAAGCCTTAATACAAAACCTTCACCTTTAAGGATGAATTTCAAGTCTAATACAAAACTCTCAAATCTAGAAGCTTTTAATTAGGGCTTCTTGGTTCTTCAGTGTTTTGGAAAGGAAAATGCCTAGTCACCGCCCCTCTTAACAAAAAATTTCACCACTCTTCTACAGATGAACTCAAGTGATGCTATCGTCAAGAAATCAACATATGATCATTCCTCTGGTTGCTTCACAGTACCGGCCAGGACAACAGCTGTGTTTGTTGAACATCGATTAGGGTTGTAATTACATACAACTGAAGTCATACACCAACAACGTACAACATACTATGTAACAAATTACTCCGTTGTATACAATATGTTGGATTATCAGGGGAATGACCCAACATAAAACGTATAATATGCCCGCAAAAAATATGGAAAGTAGCAAGACCACAAGAGATGGAGAGAATTTTACTTATTTATTCCAATGCAATTCATGTTATGAGACTGAGTTATTGAGAAGCCTCCCTCTAAATTGAGATTCAAATGCCCTTCTTATAGTGAAGCAAAAGGTATATAAATACAAAGAATATATACAAAGTGTTATGTCCATAATCAAGCATACAATTCAAGATATTAATTCCAAGATCTCGAGAACAAGCTCAAATGCTCGATGCCAGTGAATGGACTAACGATGATTCTTGTTATCTTGTTTAGTAATTTTACCCTAACGGAAATGTGACATTGTAGATGATTATATTGTAGTTGCCTTAATGGCGAGCAAATCATTAAGATAAAAGATGATATAGATGATCGTTAATTAATGTCTTAACGGACGTGCAAGCCATGAGGAAAGAGTTTACATGAATAAGCCTTATTCCCTTATGCAAAAAGAATCCATGGCAGAAAATGAAAGTAAGAAAACTAAAAATAGTTCAATGTAAATTGTATCATTTAAAGCACATGAGAAAAGATTAACATAAATTGCTTATAGAGCAACCTCAAACCAACAATGAAAAAGTGAATAAAAAGTTGTCCAATTCATGAATCTCACTATGTCACACAGTCGTACACGTTAGACACCAAACTTCATCAAGGAGAAAATATATGGAGTACATTAGCGAGCTCATGTAGGAGCACATTAACGTGATGAATGGTCGAGATATTCTAAACATTTTAGATGAATAAATCTTGACCATTTTTCCACGTACATCAGCTATTAAATGAAATAAACGAGTATCTTAATTACATTAATTTAATATCTTAATCAATGATGTTAGTTAATTTTTTTTACCATAAGCACCTGATTCACCAGCCTAAATGCCAATAAGTAGTCATATAGTTGTGTAATTAATTAATTCTCATACTCATTGTATTAATACTATACATTGACGGGCATCGCTCTAATGCCTTCAAAAGAGAAGCTATAAAAGCAAGAGGATAGAACAAGCCTAGTGGAGAAAATGTTGCTTGAATTTCAATGGCAAATATGTAAACAAGAAGAGTACATGAACTTTGCCGTTCTGTCCCAAATATGAAAACGTTCTGCCTGAGTAGTCCAACTTTTGAACCTCATTAAAAAAAAGACTAAACTCCTAAATGGACTTTTTTACTATCTTCAAATTTTCAATTAGACTCGTACTAAAGAAACATATAGAGTCCATTTGGTAACACTGAAATCGGCTGAATCGGTTGATTCTGCTGAAAACTATAAAGTTCTGGTTGAAGTGGCTGCATTGGCTGATTCCATTGATTTATGAAAAAAATAAATTTAAAATATATTTTATTAATAAAATAAAAAAAATTATATGTAAAAATAGCTAAAATGGTCTTCTACAGTAACTTCAGCCAATACAACCAGGAAAGTAACTTCTACCTTACTTTTTCTTATTTATTACACAATTCAGCGCGCCAAAACGAAAGTTATGTGTTTGGTGAAAAAGTTGACTGATAAGTCTGATAAGTCGAAAAACAGTGTTACCAAACGGTCTCATAATCAACTACACAAACTTGTTTGAAATGTTCAATTAGCATATTGAGTAGATTATTTTTTCACCTTACTATCACATCATTCTCAATTTTCTAATTTATTTCCTTTAAACATTATTATCCCGATTTACAGTGACCTCTACTATTTTCATTGGTCATTTTTTAGAAAACTATGTTGGAAATATGATGTAGAGATTTTTTTTGGGTCTCATTTATGAGCTCTATCATTTGGAAATTTATTTTATTATGTGTCAAAGAATCAATTTCATATTTGGATTGAATCCATAGTTGAAATGAAAAGTGACATATTAATAATTGATTTTTGTCTAAATTTTGAAGAGTATGGCCGAATGTATGCTAACATCTATAGCATTGATGATGAATGTTATTAGCTCATTCAAAATTGGACAAATGATGCATTGATTTACACGCTCCACATTCCAACGTATCATCATGATACTTATGGCACTCATGATAGTCTTAAAGTCATTTACTAAGGACTTTATGAAGGAAATAATATCCTTGGCAAAAGTAACGTGTACATGGGAATTGCAGGAGATGGGTTTTCAAAATTATTTCTTTTCCAAGTTAATGATTAGACTCCTATATAAATCTGCCTATCTGATCCCAATCGAAACTATTCCTAAGCCTTCTAAAATTCTAGCAAAAATTCCCTTTCAGTTTACTTGGTAATTGGAGCAGTATTCGAAGTAAACCAGAAAGAATAGCTGTAGTTCTGGTTTGAACGTAGTCTTATCCTGGGAGTAAGTAGCTTGTCCGTGCTGATCAGCCTTAGTGGTACGGGGGTTATCTTTCTTCAAAACTAATCCGATATCTCGGGTGATTCTACGTACCTCGATAAGTTTACACTTTCATTCCATTTTATTCTTTTCTAATTATTGTTTTTTTTTGGTACTGTCGATTTTGCTATTTGGTTTCTCACTATCATTAATATTATTTTTAAAAATAATTATATTAATATCAAACATATTTAATATATATATATATATATATATATATATATATATATAAACTCTTAATTTTACTTAAATATTTATTTTCGGGTTTTAAACTTGCTATCTGTTAGGACAAAATTAATCAACAAACTATTATGAAAGAATTGGTCTCTACTGGTCACTACCACCGTCTAATATATTCCCCTTACAATCTTCCCAATAAAGGCCAATAGTGGTAGTTTGGAGCAACAATGACAACCAATTTTATCCTCTAATAGTTCAAACAATAACTACACGGTACGACGATGGTGAACGTGAATGGTTGAAAACTGAAATAAGGGAGCACCAAAGTACTCACATCAGCAAGGTACAGTGTCTGATCTTTCAGAGTCGTCCGATCAAAACTTCAATGGCTGGAAATCTCGTGGTCTACATCTCGAGGGGCCATTTTCCCGATCGCCCCTACCGCAAGGCACTCTGACGCACGAGAGATTTTAATCCAAAGTAATTCGCATCTGTATAATTGAGCCGATTCAGTTACGATTAACTAGATGATGTGACATATATGTGAGGTACACGAAGTAACGGTGAAATCGGCTGAATCGGTTGATTCTGCATATAATAGGAAGTACACGAAAAACTAGATGATGTGACATACATGTGATTATGACATGATGATAGTGAGACAATAAATACTCATTTAGTTACGATTAATTGAAATTATTTAACAAAATGGTGTGACGAATTGAGCATTTTTGGAACAAGGCTTAATTGAAGAACTGAAGATTGTAGGATCTATTTGATTATTTAATATGGATAATTGGATATATTTCTTCCATCTCAATTTATTTGTAGCTCTTACTTTTTTAGTCTACATACGTCTAAAACTCATTTTATTATTAAATTATGAGTAATTGAGTATAAATTATGTATTATAAATTGGATTTTGTTGTTCAATAAAAAATTCCTCTCTCCGTCCCATTTAAAGGTTCTCACTTTCCTTTTTTGGACGTTCTACTTAAAGGTTCTCACTTTCTATTTTAGGAAATAATTAACATTCTTAAATGACAATTTAATCATTAAATATTAAAAAAATACATTTATAAAATCACAGTTATCATCAATAACCCATTATATTATATACTCATCAAAATTATTTTTCAAAATATACTCAAAGTAGCATATTTAGTTATTGTTTAAATAATTGTGCCATGACACGGGAACTTTTAAATACTACGTATATAGATTTGAAATATTGTACGGAGCAGTGACTTAGTGAAATAGATTTTAGTGAAATAGTTTTTTTTTTTTTGAAATAGATCTTAGTGAAATAGATTTTTTTGAAAGGAAATGAGAATTTTAAAATGGGGAACTAGGAAGCTAAGTACTCGTATTTATTTAAAGAGCACAAAGTATAAATTGATAGGATGATGGCTATGTGTTTTATACTACTACGTACGTAGTAGTATTTTCGTAAATAATGAATTATCATCATTTTTTCATACCTGTAATTGTTTGAAGTAAATTACAGTTCGACGGCGGAGAAAAATAGTCAGTCAAACTAGTCCCGCCGGCAGCCACCAGTCGACGGAGGAGTGATGGCGAGTCTCTTCAGCGTTTCATCTTCTCCACAGTTGAACAACTCGTTTCTTCAATTATCATCTCATTCCCATTCACTCTCACCCTCCTTACAACTCAAGGTATCCGTCTCAACACAACACACATAAGTATCTTCTAATTTGTATCGAAAGAATTAACGCTTATTCGTTCGATGTGTTGATGAAGAGCGTTTGCTACCGGGAATTGGTCTTGTTCCGAGCGCACTGTTCGTCAGAGAAAGTTATAGACGCCGAAAAAGAATCCAAGACGGAGTTATCGTCTCCTCCTACCAGTGATCCGAGCATTTCATCATACAATTGGTGTGCTTTCCTCGGAGGGATTGGGTTCCTGGAGACGTCCTACTTGACATACCTGAAGCTCACGGATTCTGATGCGTTTTGCCCAATTGTTGGTGGCAGCTGCGGCAACATCCTTAACAGCAGCTACTCATTTGTTTTCGGTAATTTATTTAAGTTGTTGATGGTTATGAGTTATTATGCCTTGAACTTGAGTCTTTTTGCATGCTACTTTTCATGATGTTCTGATTTTGTGAATGTCATTAACATCCTTTGTCTAGTAAGTTATTCATATGCCTAGAGATTAGGTTCGTAATTGAACTTTAGCGTTCATCTTTATATTGTGGCAGGAGTTCCGCTTCCATTACTGGGTATGGGTGCGTATGGATTAGTTACATTACTTGGGCTGCAATTAGGCAGAAAGTGGTTACCACTTGGAATTGAAGAAGCTAATGGGAGACTTGTTTTACTTGCCACAACGACTTCTATGGCTGCTGCTAGCTCATACTTTTTGTACATCTTAAGTATGAGATTCCCAGGGGAGTGGTGTTTATATTGTCTGACATCTGTTGTCTTATCCTTCAGTTTATTCTACATCTCTCTAAAGGTCCTATTCTTGACATGCAATTTCTAGTGTATGGGATTTAATATGAACCAGTGTGCTATAACTTTGATAATGATTTTGGCGCGTGTTACAGGAGTTGGGATTCGCTGAGT